ATTTACTCCAGGAAGACATGAGACCAAAGAGAAGTTTTTATCCCTGGAAATCCAAAGCCCCCTGAGACTACCCTTTGCAAAATGAAAATACTTAGAGGGATAGACTTCTGGCTTGGAGCTTAACATTGTCCCACTGGCTTTATGGTTTATGGAGATCTTGGAGGTGGGTATGTGGTCCATTGCTGGAACTAGGCATGCAGGTGGCAGGTTTTGATCCAAGCTCAGTATCTGGCGTTTTGGGAGCTCAGCTCTGTAGTGGAGCATGGATCCGGTCTCTGTGCACCTGCACTTCCGAGTTAAGAGGCCAGACCTGGCCTCCCATTAAGCAAGGTAAAGCCCCTCTCTCTGGCAGTGAAGCAGAAGGAGCCATGAGTTGTGGTGCTCCCCCATCAGCCATGCAAACCATGAAATCAGGAACAACCATGAAGTGAGACACTGGTTTGTTGTTGGCACGTGAACTGTGGGTTTCTCATAGTTGTTTTCATAGGTTCAGAAAACAAACTAACTCATGTCTCAAGGACAACCCATGGATGTGGGTTTTGTCTGAGCCCAGCTAAAGTTATTTGAGTCCTAAACAATTGTCACTAAGCAAAATTTTGAAAAACTCCAAGTCAGTAGTAGCAATCCGTTAGGTACAAAATATTGCTTTAATAAATGACATGTTTAATAATTCAGCTTGTTTCTAGCGTTGGTGTTCACCTACACCTCTTCCACCAGCTACTAGGTGGTTTTGAAAAATTCTAATGGAATTTGTGGCACCAGGAAAGGATCATCTTGGGGAATACTGATTCATGGCTTTGGAGGGTTCCTTGGGCCCAGAAATAAAAGCATTTGCTATAAATAAGAAACCCCACTTTTGGGACTAGCAGGTGGAGTGGCTTCCCCATACGTGATGGCAAGAGTGGGGAGAAGCATTCCCCCGTAGAATCTTGTGTGCATGATGCCCCTTAAGCCTAAGCCAGTATCAGATGAATAAGAGTTGCCAAGAGTCATTCTGCACTTGAGGACATTCATATAGAAATGTGGCCTGAAAAATCCAATTTTCCAGCAGAGCAGATCCTCTGTTCCACTCTGTCTGGTGGAAATTTTAACATTCTGTCACTGGAGTGCAATATTTCTCTCCATCTTTAGCTTGTTTGTCTGCTCCTGAACAAGTCCAAACAAATTATTAAAATACCCTTTATTCATTACCCATGCAGTTCCTGTATTGGATCTTTAATTAGTTTGTTTAGACTACTGCATGGGTCTCCCCCCACCCCATTTTTAGGCAGTATATTTTTAGCTTTAGTTGCCATGGAAACATATGACACTGGGACCAAGCTAGTCACAGATCGAGACAACAAACGCAATCTTCTACTCATTCGGTTTCCTGATGGAAAGTATGCTGTAAAATATTAACCTTTTCTTTGTCCAGTGGTGGAAAGTGACAGTGTGCTGCTCATAGAACTGCCACAAATCGTTCCTACATAAAGGCAGAATTTACTTAGCATAGGAGGGAGAAACTAAAGATACTTAGGCTTGTGTTGGAATTTCTCTCAGATCTGCCATCTTAAATCCTGTTCATCCAAGTTTAGATTCTTAGATAGACAAAATAGCACCATTCATACACAAAACAAAAGCACCGGCAGTACCCACAAGTTTGTTGGTGTTGTTATGTGTCATAAGGTCATCTCCAACTTATGGCAACTCTACAAATGAATGGCTCCAAAAAGTCCTGTCCTTCACAGCCCTGCTCAGCTCTTGTAAACTTAAGACTGTGGCTTCCTTTATGCAATCAATCCATCTCGCATTTGCTCTTCCTCTGCTTCTCCTGCTTTCAGACTTCCCTTGCATGATTGTCTTCAGTGAGTCTTGCTTTCTCATGAAGTGCAATAGCTTTGGTTTTGTCTTTTTTGCTTCACAAGTTTGACATACTTAGGAAAGAACTTGAGCAGGGGGGAAAATAGCCTGCCTGATTTTGAGGGCATGAATTAGTTACTGCTTCAGATGATTTCATACCTTAAACATTGATCAGCCTCTCAAGTTAATTCTCCCTCCAATTCCACCTAACAGAGAAAAAGAATAAGGGTACATCCTATGGTTAACAGCAAGAGTAGACATGGTAGCGCTCTGTCACTCCCCCCCCCCCCCGCCCCACACACACACACTGAAGCCCAGATATCATTAGCTTGCAGTAGAATTGGTGGAACTTCTTCCAGTGATTCTGAGCTGATTCACATGTAATGCCAATTCATGCATTAAACAACTCATGCATTGCCAGGGCTGCAGGGGGGCAAGTGGCAACACTGCCTCCCTCCCATTTGCGCTTCCACTTTGCATCCATTCTGCAGCCCAGAAATGCCCTGTTCTCGTGTTGTTAGTTGCGGCGCCGGAACTCGCCCCTCTGGATTGTTAAGGGTTAAAGAACCCATACTTTAACCCAACAGGAAACCATGGGTTGTGAACTGGAACACTAATTAGTTATGAGCTGAAACCTGCGGTCAAGTCCACTGGTGCCTCTGAACCCAGTGGTTCGGTGCTGCAAGAGATTCTTTCCAGTTGGGCTTGTAACTGCCATGTGGCTTCATGATAGGAATGTAACAGACTGCGGGTTTCCTATGAGCTCTGCTGCACGTCCCCAGAAAGGCTGAGTAGTGATCAGCTGCTGCTTCTATTCAGTTCATGAAATATTTTGCTATGGGTTTACATTCTTCCCTCTTAATGGGTGCTTTTCATCGTTACATGCTGCCTCTCCTTATTACATTGTGTACTACCTACTCTTATTATCCTTTCAGGAATCCTAATCTGTGTTTAACTATAAACTTGATGATTAATTGGGATTGCTTTCCTGTACTCAGCTTTACTGTCTATTTTATCACTCATAGCCAGTGCAGTAGTTTGACTGGAAGATTGTACTAGCTTAAAGAGGTATGAAAACATTTAGAAAGCCGTTACAAAGGTCACTGGGGATATGGCACAGTCTCTGCAAATGAGCTCCAAGTGAAGCTCAAAGGCTGATCTGACTTCTCCAGAGCTCCTGAGAATTCGGGTGTCACCTGTCAGCATACATGGAGCCGCGGGCAATTTAATCACTGTCACTCTTCCAATAGAAGTTTCAGAAGCCAACTCACCAGGAGCTTTTCTTAACAACACCCAGTGGCTGGGTATCTGATCTAGCAGGGGGTGAGGTTGATTAGGCCAGCATCTCATTGCCTTTCTGCAGGAACCAGAGTTGTATATGGTCCCACTGAAAGCCAGATATTCTTTTATCTGCCAGAGTCAGGTTACATAAACAGGAAGATTTCAGACTTTGTTATGGTGGTCCACCCATTAATCACAGTCTAAACTCCTTAAACCCTTTGCAGCTTCAATCAAGATGCAAGAGAGAGGTCTCATGTGACAGTAGTCATACTTGTTCATAATTTAGGGAGAAAATCAAGACAGTTTTATTTATATATCTCTTTATTTAATAATTTATAGTCTGCTTTTCTAGTCGCCAGAGCAGTGTGCAATGCCATTATCAACAGTATGAAAACAGTAATCAATAATGAAACGGTTAGATCAGTTCAAGACCTAAATAAAAAACACCATAACAGATTATTTAAACATCAGAGTCAGATTAAAGTTAATAAAAACTCTGGCTACACAATGTTGTTTTCTTCTGATGGCAGAAGGTAAAGGGAAACCTATGTGAGTTCCACAACTGGAGTGTGGCAATAGAAAGTTCCAGCCACATATCCCAACTAACCTCACATTCACCCTTGGTAGGACACAGAGAAGGGCCTCTGCCAGGTCTTAGGGGCATGGGCAGGATGTTATGGGTGAAAATGGCCCCTTCAGATATCTCAGACCCAGTAATTTAGGACATGTTTAACAACCAGCATTCTGAATGGTGTCTGGACTCCTGTTAGTAACCACTGTATTTCCTATAGCCAAGCTGTGGTAAACTGGCCATAATATGCTCACTCGGCTGTGTTTCCGTGATTGCATAGTTGGTGCACACTGGACCACCTGAAGCTTTTGATCATTGCTTGAAAGCAGCCCCGGGCCAAGCTGACTGGCATAGTCTAGTTTTGATGCAACTAAGGAAGGCATCCCTGCAGCTCAGTCCAGCCTTTCCAGGAGCAGGCATTATTAACTGAGCTGAGCAAAGGACCTCCTAGCCATGGCCATCAATGAGGAGCCAACAGCAAGGCCACGCCCAGGAGAATTCCCAAAGTGCCAAGCTTCTAGTCCCCTTCTAATCCAAGGGGAGCGCTACTCTATCCAGAACTTCATCTGGAGATGTTACTACACCTCTACCCAGAGCCATCTTGTCTCACCCAAATTAAACATTCATCCAGCCCAGTACTGTCTTCTATGACCAGTTCAGGATATTAACCATGTTTATTAAATCAGATGAAAAGTAGATGGGGTGGAAGGAAATGGGCATTGTCCACATAGTGGTAACCCCACAGCCAACATCTCTGAATTACCTCTTCCAGATCCCCAGGGAGCAAATCTAAAGTGGTCAAAAAGCTTTCTTTATTAAGTTCCCTGCACTGAACACCCTCATGGGGGATGAAGCAGATGACACATTGCAATTTGATTTGAAACATGGCTGCTTCTTTTCCCAATCAAAACACATTTGGAGCAGTGTCAGAGTAGAGCCATCCTCTCCACCTCAGAATTCCCGGGCAAGTCTCTTTGCGTCATGCTCTGAGAAGCACTGCTGTAAACACATGTTTGTTTAATTGTACTAAGCTACAGATGTTTAATCCAGAAATGGCTAGAAGTGCTACTGCAGCCCCACATAGGAAATCCCCCCCCCCCCCCAGTAGAGAAGCCAGTGATGGTTGAATGTCACCCAAATCCCACCTGGGTTCGTTTGGCCAGGTTTTCTGGGAAAAGTGCATTTTATCTCTAATGTGCAGCTTAACATTTTTCTTGCCAGCGGTTTCCACAGAGGGAAAGAAACTGAAGTGGTAACAATGGAAAAGGCAATTTCTTTTGAGAATGACCATTACTGTCATATTTTACAGAACTATAAAAGTAGAGGTATACGACTGGGACCGAGATGGCAGGTAAGTGATATTTTAAAAGTTATTTAAACATGGAAAAAGTTGTTTCAAATCTTACTGGCTAGGAAAGGTGGTCTAAAAGAAAACTAAAATGACCGAGTTGTAGTAAGGGTATGCAGGCTGCGGCATGTTCAAGCCACATTCATTCCTCCCAAAAAAAGCACCTATAACAACCCTGTGAAAAAGGATGGCCTTTAAGCCCCGTCAGCACACACATCTGCCAAAGCAGGGCTGAGGAACCCCTGGCCCACCGGCTTTGTGTGGCCCATTGAGGCTTCCCAGCCTGGCCTCAGGTCACACTTGCATGTCAACACAATTTTCACCCCCATCATGACACACGGAATGGAGAGCTTTAAACCCTCCTGCCCCGCGTGCCGTGATGGGAGTGAAGATTGGAAGCTGTGAGTAAGTGAAGGGGTGGCCCCACTGATGTTGGGCTCTGGCCTCCCCACTGCTGGCATGTGGCCCTCAAAGGTTTTGCCAGGTGGCAGTCTGGCTTTAGGGCCAAAAAATTGGGTCGCCAGCTGTGCATTGCAGCGGCAGGTGGTGTGGTAGTCTACATGCCCTTCCAGGTTGTGCGAATGATTACAGGCTGGAGAGGGTGGGCAGACATACACGGGTGACGTTGGCATTTCTTGTTGTGCTTAATATTGCTGTTATTCAGCTAGAAAAGAGGCCCACCAAGAAGGGTGGCGGGATGAGAGAGCCTCCTCTTTCCAAAACATCTCATGGAACTTCTTTTCACTAACAGCCATGATTTCATTGGGGAGTTCACCACCAGCTATCGTGAACTGGCACGAGGACAAAGCCAGTTTAATGTCTATGAGGTGAGTGACTTCTTGAAGTGCTAACGTGGAAGATTGATTGATTTTGCGGGATGGGGATGGGAGAGAAAGCTCTGAGAATTAACTAAGGAGGTTTCCAGGCACTGGAAACACCTGGGGGCACAGTCTGCATGGACATTCTTCTACTTAGGGCCCATAGTTAGGGTCCAAGACACATACCAAAATTCATAGTATTGTGAACCATTCTTTGATCCTAGGTCTCATATCTCTCATAGTTGGTCAAATCTGGCACATCTGAAGGTAACACAGATAGCCAAGATGTGGCAACTCAGAAGGGCACATTGCTACTCCTTGTAGCTGCCGTAGTATTAGTAGAAAGAATAGCTTCGGGGAAACCATCAAGAGAGGAGAGAAGCTGTGCTTGGAATGAAGTCTGGAGGATAACAAGGTCTACTGCATAACCAGTTCTCAAGCTAGTGTGAGTCGGCACAGCCCTGGTGCCTAGTCACTGACTGGACTGCCTAAACCATTTAAAAACAGGGCTATTTGTTAAAAGCAAATGCTCTCACTTGTTTAGAGAAGTAGTGATACCGCAAAATGAAAAGTGTGTGTGTGTGTGTGTGTGTGTTTCTCTCTGCCAGACAGACAGAAATACAGCCAATTTTGCACATTTGAATTCAGTCTTGTTCTACATTAGCTTTATATTCTTTTGGAAAATGGATGGGTGACACTGCCTTGCTCAGGAAGGGTGAATTTCAAAAGAGAAATGTTTGGACCTAAGGGCAAAAAAGTATTATCTTCTTCTAGGGACTGTGAGCTCATTGTTCTTAAGGGAATCTGTTGAATCTCTTCTCGGTGCTGTGGCCAAAAAGTTGGGGAATTGTTACATTAATTCTGCCTTCAAGTGAGCTAAAAAAATATGAGCCTTTTGGGTTGGATTTGTAGTCTGGAGGTAAAGATCTTGCCATTCCTTCACAGTGCTTGTTTTGCATTCTCAGTGTCGTATAAGCAGAAATTATTTAACAAACATGCATTTCTCTGATATAAGCAACTATATATCTCTACTCAAAAGTTTCACTGAGTTCAGTGGAACTTACTCCCAGGTAAGTAGGTATACATTTGCATCCCAGTGAGATTACAGAAGGCAGACCCTTAGTTAATATAGAATCAGAGAATAGTAGAGTTGGAAGGCGCCATGAAGGTCATCAAGTCCAACCCCCTGCTGTTGCAGGACCCCAGTTTACACCATCCCATTCAGATGGCTGTCCAGTTTCTTTTTGAATGTCTCTAGTGTGGGAGAGCCCACCACCTTTCTAGGCAGCTGGTTCCACTGCCGTATTACTCTGACCCTGAGGAAGCTTTTTCTGATGTCTAGCTTGAATCTGGGTTGTCACAGCTTGACTTGATTATTCTGTGTCCTGCAATCTGGCATCAGCAAGAAGAGATCTTGACCTTCCTCTTTGTAACAGCCTTTGAGGTACTTATAGAGGGATATCATGTCAGTCTTCTCTTCTCAGTCTCTCCACATAGGGGAGTGTTTCCAGACCCTGGATCATTTTTGTTGCCCTCCTCTGGACCCTTTATAATTTTTCTGCATCTTTCATATGATGTCACATTTCTCATTACAACCTCTCAAATGAGAATGAGATCTGAAGACCAGCACATAACCTAACATTTCCTTGACACGAGGGCTACAGACATATCATTAATACTTCAATTTAATACCAAATAAATCTAGATTTTATTTTTTGCCTGTATAGCTAGGTCTTTATTTCTGAAATACTTACATTTGGGAACATTCATGCAAAGAACAGGTAAGGAGGAAAGTGCTTGCCAACTCTTTCCCAAAGATTTCGAGTTATACTGGGTGCTTAATCTTTTTAAATCCCTCCTTTTTGTTTGGCTGAGATTAGTTTTAACTGAACATTTGTATGTAGCCTTTTGCTTTCCTTTATTCCTCTGAGGTTGCAGATTTTGCTAAGCCATTGTTCCACTGAGGAATGAACGTTATTTAAAAGAACTTGGAAACATGAGTTTGGGCAAAGATTGATAGGAAATTTTCCTGGTAATATTGCTTTTTTGGCCAGGTTATTTTAACTTGCCTTAATATAAATATATTGCCTTCTTTTGTAAAACAAAACATCTGCATCAATATAATGCATTGCACGAGCACCAGGAAAAATTACCTTTTACCTGCAAGCAATAAAAATTTAGTATTTTTTAAATTGACAATTAATCCTCAGCAGAGTAAGTAGCTTACTGTCCAAGCTTTGTAGAGAAAGCCAGTCTGCGTTACAATCTTCACTATAAAGAAAGTATTTTGTTCACTTTCCTTTCCTTTTTAAATACTTATCCCTTGCAACTGCTGTTTGCAAAAAGCTCGTGCCTTCCTCAGGCTGCAGTATGGTCCATGAGAGAGAGTTCCAGAATTGCAGGACTTGTCAGAACTCCTTTTCTGAGGCCAGGGAGAAAGAGGTCCACCCTCTGAGAAACCTCTGCAGCTGTCTTTGAAATCAGAGTTCCATCAAGAATGAAGGGGGAAAGGAGGGATGCTTGGTATAAGCCAGTGGGCTTGCCAAGGCAGGCTGTGGGCCACTGGACCACTCTACAATTTGCTGGCACCATCTGCTTCCATTGCAGGCTATCATCAGAAAGTGGCCCTTGAAAATCGTCACCCTCTCAACTGACTAGACTTCTGGCTGCAAAGATCTGTTTTTGTCAGATTGTTTAGCAAGATTCTAATCCCAACAGTAAAAAAAAGGTGCTTGGGTATCATGTGCAATATAATATTCTGCTTGCTTAAACCATTAGCCAATGCGAATGGTTGGTAGTTGGAAGGATGTTACACCAAGTGGCAGCTATCAAGGCTTCTGTGCCACAAAATCCTGGTGACCCTGCCATAGTGCAGAGGTGCTTCTGTGAAGGGGCAGCGGGTGACCAGTGCAATTCTCGCCAATACTATTTTGAGCCTGTTTCAGGTATAGATAAAGAACAGAGGAAAGGGCTCACTTGGGGAAAAATAGAATTGAATCAGATCATTTGCACTAGCATTAGTAAAATGGACTGGGGTGCTTGCCTGCTTTAGGTAATTGAATCGCACACTCACCTGAGGGATATTTAGGCAAGAGAAAAGCCCTACAGCTCCCAGTGTTCTTACAGTTGTAGGGTTTTTCCCCTGTGCAAACATGCATGGAATTGCTGCCTTATTTGAGCTGTGTTATTATTCCCCCCTTTTCCCCCTAATTCTGTTAAGGGAAGGTATCTGCGAGAATCGGGCCCTTGGATACATGCTCCCTTAGCTCAGCTAGAGGGAGCTACAGTGCCTCACTTTGGTTTTTCCTTTTCGCTGAATTACTGGACAGGTTATGTTCTTTTGTCAGCTGATACCTCAAATACATGAAGTAACCTTATGCATTCATCAAATGTAATTGCCTCTGTCTAGATAGGAAGGATCAGCAGTGCACATGTCTCTTTGCGTGGATTCATTTGTACAAGCAGGGAGCATGCAGGTAAACTCAGAGATATGCTCTCATTTCAATTTGGAAGGCCTCTTCCATGTCAGCTTTTCCCAGCCTCTAGGTATGTTGGACTAGAACTCTCATCATCACCAGTCAGCATGGCAAATCCCCATCCTATCTGGGGATGATGGAAGTTGTTGTGTAGCATACCTGGAAAGTTCCAGCTTGAGAAATGCTAATGTACATGAACAGAATTCAGGGGCAGGGTTAAGCAGTAATGTCTCTCTTTGGTCAGGCTGCAGATATTTCTTCCTGATATATGACCTGCCTGTTTGGCTGCTTGCAGTAACACTAGGCAGTTCCGCAGCTATCTGGATCTGAGAGTTCTTGGGTTGGATCCAGAAGCTACCTTCTGTGGACAAAAGGGTGCTGCTCACAGACGGAGCCTCTGGCATCAAGCAAGCCCCCACCCCCACCCCGATCCTCTGTGTAGCATTTCCATGTAGCTAGAGGGTTGCTATAGGGAGCGTGGTCAGGAAAGGCCATTTGCATGTGCCTGGATCTATCATCCCCCACCCCTTTATTCCGGAAGCTGTTCTGTACTTCCTCAAAATTCCAACTTTGCTTGGAGAAAGTAACACCAATGTTATTCAGACTGTACCTTTTAAGACCTCACCTGTATTATTTATTTGAAGAAACTACGTGATAGTTCGGGAATGAATAGGGGCCATTTATCAAGTTGTCACTTGCTCTGTCCAATATATCAGGTGCAGCTAGTGGAGCGAGGAACTGAGCGTTATTAGGGAGATTTATAGTTTTTAACAAACATCACATCAGAGTTGAAAGAATTGTCTCTGATTGAAAAGTAACATAATGATGATCTCATAATATTGTGTGCCGTTCAAAATGCCAAAGGAACAGGAAGGCATTTAAAGAAATGGTATAACACATATTTACATTGGCCCTCAAAGGATTCAGCCTTCCCTACCGTGGGTACTTCCAGGTTTCAGCCTCAGGTTTAAAGGAGGTATCCATGATGCTGAACCTATTTCGGGGTTGTAATACAACACCATGGATGGTTTCTTAAAAGATCAAACTAACCCCCAGAGTGGATATGCCGCTCAACTAACACTGAAACCACCAGACATCATTGACTCTAGACTTCCTTTTCCCAACTTGTTTTGGACTTCAACTCCCACCAGCCACAAGCCAGAATGGCTAATGGTCAGGAATCCTGGAGTTGTAGTCCAAAAATTTGCAGAGCACCAGGTTGTAGAAGACCTTTCTAGAGAATGTTCACTGTTTTCAAGAGGAAAACTTTTTAGAACAAGTCATATGTTATAAATCAATGTTATGAGGGCAGTGATGCCATATGATACACATTTTGGCAGTCTTCAGACTTTTGTACTGTGTTACTGCATTTGGTGGGTTTGTTTTTCTGTTTTCTTAGGCGCGTGTGTGTTTTGTTGGAATTCATGTAGCTTCTTGAATATAACACTCTTCCACATCCATGCTAATCAGTTCCCAGGCTCTTGGCTGCTTTGTGTAGGCTTCTACGTGTCATAAAATGTGACGCTATGCAAC